GTAGCTAAACCTTCTCATATAGGATTTGATGGAACCTTTTGAAGGATGATTTTTTCTGTTGTGTTTTATATAATTGAGCCGTTGGATTTCTCTACTTGTTCAATTACGTGTTTATTGCCGTGTGCCTATTTAGTATGTATTGCTTGGAAAAAGGTACATATTTAGGTAGTTGTTGAACAACATCACTCATAACGTATCTGAGGAATCAATACGGAGGGTTTAAAAGTGGGATTAGAAATAACGAAACCTTGGTGCGATCTTAGTGAGCGGTGAATTAGTACCAGCTAGCGTAGTTCGGAAGAATATGTCTGGTAAATTGTAGTAGTTGCTCGGAAGAGAATTACAACACCCTAAGTACTCACGATCGGTAGAGAATACTTAGGCAAAATTATGAAAAACGTAGCGGGAAGGATTCTGACAATTGGGAAAATCATAACTCTAGACCTCCTTAGTCTTGTCTCAAATTTCATCCTGTCAGTGATAATTTTACTACTTTATAATAATTTTTAGTTAATTAGTTAGAAATAAACATTATAATCTTTATAATTATGAAATTATTTGGATGTCTTAGCAATATTGAACAATTGTAGCTAAGCCTTAGTTCTCTATGGGATTCGACTCCAGACTTGTAAACCGGATTATATTTGCAGCGACCGCTTAGTCCTTTTTATAAGGCATAGTTGGGCGTGATCAAATTTTGGCGCCGTTGCTGGGGAACTAACGGTGTAGCTGTAGCTGTACATATTGTTAGGTTTCAAGTTTGAACTTTTATTTTGTTTTGTTCTTTTTTTTTTAAACTTTATTTTATTTTACTTGTTGATTTGAGAAACATGACATCTTGAAATTATGGATGTTTCAGTGTTGGTAATTCTACTTTTGATCTTCCTTATCCTCCCCCAACTCCTTATGATGATGGTTCTACTCTTTCTTATGAAGTTAATAGAAACAAAGAACCTGAGAATGCTAACCTGAAGGAGATCATGGATATGTTGAAGTGCCTTGTGGTACAATATGATGAGAAACTGCTGCAAATACAAAGGCAAGAGGCAACTATTCGCAACTTGGAGGCTCAAATTAGTCAACTAGTTGATCCTTGTAAAGCGCAACAAGCTGACATTGTGGATAGTAGCCAAGAAGAGTATGAATTAGCGGCAGAAATTGCCATTATAATGGAGGAGTTGAGAGCAGAATACGACCAAACCAACCAACTAGAATTTGATCATGTCGATGTTGAAGGCGTGATACTAGTGTCAGCCGAGGACATTGAGGAAACATATTTAGTTGACTCTAGTGTCATTGGTGTAGAGGATGTTGAACATCTCGAAGTTCAGGTATTTGAGCGTGTTGGACCTCGTTCCAAACACTTCTATACATTTTGTTCGGATGGTGAAATGAGAACGGATTCTTACGAGCGTAGAAAAGAGACAAGGGAAGAGGTAGACGAGCCATATATTTTGAAATTTTCGAGGTCGTCTAGGCAAGGTGATACTCCTCAGGTTAAAGCCAAAAAGTGCATAAGGAATTATTTAATTTTTGGCTTTCAAGGCTTTACGCCATCCCAAGAGCATGATCATAGAGCAAAATCAAAACTTGGGATCCAATTCATAAGGTCAAAGTGGAGGTAGAAAGTGATTCACGTCGTGTCGCGACGTTAAATCAGGCGCTTGTTGGGAGGCAACCCAACTTTACTGCTTTCTTTTTTAAAATTAAATAAATTGTTTACCTTTGTTTAATGTATTATTTTTTTAGTGTCGTTTTGTTTTATTTTTTTATTTTGTAGGTGTATGAGCATGGAAAATAAATCCATTGGAAGGAAGCAAAAGTAAACAAAATTGTTGGAACTAAATGTGATATACCTGCACAAAGGACCGGGCTTGGGAGAACTTTGCATATCTCATGAGTTGTCGATGCTTCGGCCTTTGGCCTACCATGGAGTTTCTTTCACCTTCTTGTTATTTATGGTGTGCATTGGGGACAATACACAATTATAAGTGTAGGGTGAGGAGATTGTCTGAGTGATTTTCTATGATATTTTAGTTGTGTTAGTTTAAAAAAAAATTGGACTTTTCCTGGCGATGGATCTCTTGGACAACTTTCTTGAGGAATTGATCCAATAAAAAATCCAAAAATATTTTTATTAGTCGTAGGTAGATAATAATCCCCCTTGATTTTTTTTTTGGCATCAGTTCTTTTTCAAGGGATGTATCTTGAACCGGGTAGTTTTTTATTCTTTTTTATTTTTTAGGAAACCGAGGGAAGAAAACTTGAGTGTCGTGTAGGCCTTTTGACCTATTTGAGGTTTGCATAGTTAGGCCGTAGCATGCAAATTATCTTCCCAACATGTTTGATGAAAATTGATGTCGTGTTTGATTGAATAGCATGTCTGTGACGCTTTCTCTCAGTTACCTGACTCATTGTTCAAGTAGTTCTTTATTGCTTAATACTTCTTGACTTTGTTATTACTTGCCTAAACTTTAGAGTTGGAATGGAGCCGTCCCGACTGGGGTAATGTGCATTGTGCAATGTGAGATTTTGATAACATTCTGTGCTATCATGTGTTTGTCTAGAACTTGCCCTGTGTGTTAGTCAAAGTGAAATAAGTAAGCTTTCTGAGTCTAGGAGACGATGTAGGCGTTTCTTTGACTGTCCATTGAGCTATTATGCCACCATAAATAAAATTATCCTTAGATAGCCAATTTGATCATATTAAGCTTTTTCTTTGGCACCCACATTACAAGCCGAGTCACTTTGTTCTTTAAGTAAATTTTTGTTGAACCTTTACCTCCAAAAGCACGTAAGTCGCTAGAAGAGTAAGGTGAGAGTTGGGATAGTTTTTGAGTAGAACCATAAAAAAGCCAAAAGGTGCATGTATGTTTTGGAAGATCATTAGCCGACCTAAAATTGTGGAGAGTGTTGAAGAAAAAGATAATCAAAGAAAATACAAAATAGAAATAAAAAATAGAAAAAAGGGAAAAAACAGTATTTAGAATATACACCTCCTATTCATTAGGATTCGGGCTTGTGAATGCAGAGTTGTGCTTAAAGAAAAAGGGCCAAGTTGTATATGGTATCGTAGCATTGCTTGAATTGGTCATGAAAAGTGTGTAGTGTATTAAAATGCTTAGGAGGGTGAGTCACTATATTCAAAAATATATCCTACCCGTCCTTTAGCCTACATTACAACATGTAAAGACCTAATTGATCTTAGACTTTGCGAGCTTAGATTAGTGGAGATATACACTACGGGCAATCTTATGGTACAACCATGGGATGCATATGATTTTATTTCTGAGAGGGAGTGGTTCTTTGTTCATATATGTGATGTCCTTAAATTATATTCGAATGCATATTTGAATGTGTGGACAAAATACCCTCTTATTTTTTAGTAGGCTACGAAGACACTTGAAAGCAACGAATCACAGGAGTTTTCTCATATTCTCTTCCTTAATCTGTATTTTAATGCTTTCAATTATTATCATGATTGTTAGTATGGTTATGAGTAGCTAAACCTTCTCATATAGGATTTGATGGAACCTTTTGAAGGATGATTTTTTCTGTTGTGTTTTATATAATTGAGCCGTTGGATTTCTCTACTTGTTCAATTACGTGTTTATTGCTGTTGATTTAATGGCCATCAATTGACTGTGCCTATTTAGTATGTATTGCTTGGAAAATGGTACATATTTAGGTAGTTGTTGAACAACATCACTCATAACGTATCTGAGGAATCAATACGGAGGGTTTAAAGGTGGGATTAGAAATAACGAAACCTTGGTGCGATCTTAGTGAGCGGTGAATTAGTACCAGCTAGCGTAGTTCGGAAGAATATGTCTGGTAAATTGTAGTAGTTGCTCGGAAGAGAATTACAACACCCTAAGTACTCACGATCGGTAGAGAATACTTAGGCAAAATTATGAAAAACGTAGCGGGAAGGATTCTGACAATTGGGAAAATCATAACTCTAGACCTCCTTAGTCTTGTCTCAAATTTCATCCTGTTAGTGATAATTTTACTACTTTATAATAATTTTTAGTTAATTAGTTAGAAATAAACATTATAATCTTTATAATTAGGAAATTATTTGGATGTCTTAGCAATATTGAACAACTGTAGCTAAGCCTTAGTTCTCTATGGGATTCGACTCCAGACTTGTAAACCGGATTATATTTGCAGCGACCGCTTAGTCCTTTTTATAAGGCATAGTTGAGCGTGATCACTTATCTAAACTACTTGATTGGAATTAAGCGTGGGGGACACTTTTTCAATAGAGGTCGACACATAACAGAGACGAATTCATAATTTAAATTTGATTGATTCCAACAACAATAATAAGACAGGCTCCTTATGTTTGATGGTAGGTTTTAGGTAACTCCCTATATCTATACTCTTGAGTAGTTATGATCTTACTATCAAGTAGGGGTGTAGATGGACTGGGTTGGTTCGGTTTTTATTAAAACCACACCAATTATATCGGGTTGGATTGGTTCGATTTTGTCGGGTTTGTTCGAATTTTTTGTTATGTGAATATTATTTCAGTCTTACTTTGTTAAACTTTTCGACCTAATCCGGTGGCAAAAGACAGGCCAATATAGATGAAAACTCAGCCCTGTATTGTGAATATTACTCTAACAGTATCAACATAAATGACTAATTCAAAGTATATAATAACTATGCTTGCAGAGTTTCAAATGTGCAGTGTAAAGTATAGAGCGAGCTCTACATCGTATGGTGGAACTCCCAGAGCTCATCTAAGCCATCTGGAGAAGCAAAGGGTTAATCTGCCATTAATGCCTCTAAAACTGAGGCACCCATGTGCCATAGGTCCTAGTTTTCTTCAAGCAATCAAGTATTGTCTCAATTCCAAACTAGTTATGATAGCAAGAATGAATTTTCTGTCAGTTCGCTCTGTTTAGAACCATTTTATTCCAATATTGGTAAATAATTTGTCCATTGGTAAAAGATCATTTTTTTATGCTTCACATTTTGGCGTTACAGCAAAATTGAGGTAACATCTTCAAAAGATCATTGCTTTTCTTATGTTTCAAATGTTGGTACAATAGAATTCATTCCTTTTTCCCCTCTTTGTGGTCTCTAATACTGAGTTACTCATCTGGATAAAAAAAGATCATTACTTTTGCTGTGCTTCGAAAGATCAACATACATGACTAATTGCAAGCATATAATAGCTATGCTTGCAGATGTGCAGTGCAAAGTATAGAACGAGTTCTACGGCGAATGGTGAAACTCCCACGTATCTGTTAGTCCGTCTTCTTATCAGGTTCATCAATGGCAGCCAGTCTCTCAACTAGGGGAGGGTGAGAGTAATGATAGGCTGAATACCAAGGATCTGTGTTCATAGCTGACAAGTTTTCTTCCTGGAAGACACCAGAAAAATGATTAATAAACATCTAGTACAAAGTACAACAACAACAAACCCAGTTTGATCCCAACAGGTTGGGTCTGGGGAGGGTAGTCTGTACGCAGACCTTACCCCTACCTAATGCAGGACAACAAACCCAGTTTGATCCCAACAGGTACATCTAGTACAAAGGAAGAAAAAAAAATATGCAAGACAACATGCACATTCCAATAATCGACTTCTATTAAAGTAGAGATGCTCGTGAAAGAAGAGATGGTTAACCTGCAATTTCACAAGACCAGCTCGAAGAGGTGCAGCATAGCCCAACTTCTTTGCAAATGCATCAGCCTGGAGAAAGAAATAACATTAAGTTAACGTAAAAGCGTTTTTTTTGGGGGTAGGGGTGTGGGGGGTGGGGGGTAAAGATTCAAAATCTGAAGACAGGTGCTAAGCAAAATTTACCTGGAACTCAAAAGCGCGGCTTACAAGATTAAGGCCAAAGCTTACTAGGTGCTGGAGAGGTATCACTGTGTGCTGCAACAATAAAGTTAATATTGAATAAATAGGAAAAAATAATATTTGATTTTTAATTGAAAACAATAATCTTTGTGTTCTTGCAGTGTATCAGACAACAGTACAACAGAGTAGTGAAGTTCAACCTGGTTGCCTACCCAAAATTATTGACCGTCACAGAGTAAAACAACCTAAAGGTACAGCATTGATTAATTACTTGTACTGCACCCAAATCAATCACTACTATATATTGCACCTTTGTCATAGACTCACAAGTTATGTCACACAATTTGACTTTATAAGTGAAAAGACCGTTTCAAATTAAACGTCTTGGTTTAATTTTTAATGAATTTAAGACGTGGGTTCAAGAACATGAATTGTTTACTTATATAAGCAAGACAAGTGGTTCAAAAAAGGAATATTTGGTTTGTCTTTTTATAATTAAAACGAAGAGAAGTCGCATTGAGAAAAGTAAATGCAGGGCTCGTTGGTTCATGCCATAGGTTTCCAAGGTTCCCTCTTTAGAAAAGTGGCCACTATTTTGATCTGGGCTAGAAAAGGAAAACGGAGACTCAATTCAGACAGAGGGAGTAAAAAGCTCAGTCATTTCTTTCTAACTTTTGAAGGATCTCTCAATTAATTCAATATCAAAATTTGCTCCTAAAATTGGTACCTGGGACCCAAAAGATGCACTTGAATGGGATTGCATATTTCAAAATTAAGTTTTCATATTTAACCCTCCTAGTAGACAAACCTCCTGACCTAGTATTACCTGGAAAATGATGAGTCCAATAAGAACTGGTTGTGTATCAAACCCAAAACTCTGAAACAAGTCCTTTGAATTCCTAACAAGAGTGTATCCTCCAAACTGCAACAACGTGAGAATCTGCAGGGAAGAAATACTAGAGTCAGAAAAAGATAAACATGAATATAAAGTTGGACGGAAAAAAGATAACAAATGTGTATGTATGCACCACATGGATAAGTGTGCATGCGCGCACGAGGCATCCCAATGAGGTAAAGAAGAAAGAAGTAAGATACTTTGGAAATGTTAGATGTCATGCACCAAAAGTGAGACAAACCATGCACCTGAAGCACAACAAATGTAGCCTGTCCAATTGAATGTTATTGCGGAAAGTAAATTCATCTTACCAGCATTTTATTTCGAAAAGATTACAACGGCGATGTCCATAAACAATAACTTGCAGTAGCATCTTACACCTTGATTCCAAAATGATCACACTTAGTATTGTTTGGCAGTTGGAGAATACTGGGCCTTACAGAAAAATATGGCTCTAAGTGATCCCAATCCGAAATTGAGAAGGGAAAGAAACAGTTGTTGACAATGTGGCTCTAAGCATTACAGACAACAGTATTCTTGTCACCCTTTCAGATTTGTTTCACTAAGGCCCTTTTCTGCACTGCATTCAAGCAGCGACTTAAGAAGCTCATATTTTGTACCAAATCACCGGTTAGAAAAGGAGCAAATGGAACTCAGAAAAATAGAAGGCTTTGAGCAATAAAATTATTCACCAATAATACTGCTTGACATGCTGTGGAAGTTATCATTCACAAGATACGGATTTCAAAATCGATAATCGGAAATCTGATTAAGGAGAGGGATCAACATGCTATGGACACTATTGTTTAGCAGATGCATCCAAAATCGCATGATTGATTAAGGATTATGATGGGAGTAACTTAATTTGGGATCACCCTACAGGATCTGAACAGAAAAATATTGCCAATTACTGATAGAAGAGGATGAAAAAAGCCAACCACTTCAAGTCAATCCAATGGATATATGAGAAATATATTATGACAAACAAACTAGTGAAGGTTCTTGCAAGTGGATGTGTTTTATTAAGAGCAAATAGGGAGAAAGCAAGGATTTCGGCGTCAGATAGCCAAGAAGACAGAAAAGAAGAACTGACAAGATGAGCAAGGCAAGGAAAGCGAAAACCCAAAGCATGAAACAGAGCTGATCCATCTAGAATGTTGCATACTAATCGATCAATCAACTACACCTTAGATCCAGATTAATTGATGTTAGCTATATAAATGATATGTATTCACTCTAGTCTATCAGGCCCTTTTGATCCCAAACATTGAAAACCTTTGTCAAACAATGGACTAAGTATAAGTGCAACAACAATAGCTAAGCTTTTATCCAAACAGTCGTATCATTAGTCATGTGATTTTACGTCTACCTCACCCCTTTTAGCACCTTCAATAATCATAGAATAACTCCTAGAGACGAGCATTCGCGTAGGACATGACTAAACTATCTAACGTGATCTTATTTCATTTATCATATGTATGCTACCTGCATTCTCCGTCAAATGTGATAATTATTAATCTTGTCCAATCTAGTGTGCCCCGTAGCTATGATAACATCTCCATTTATACGACATTCATCATGTAGATACATTGGGCCTTGGATGCCCAACTCTCACACAATATAACATTGTTGGTCTCATAATCATTCCATGAAGCATAACTTTCACTTTGTTAGTGTATTGTATAGCACTCCCGTAATATTCTTCCATTTCAATGATTCTATTTAATTCTATGTTTTACATCTTAATGTATCATTGCATCCTCCTGAAGAGTGAGCCAGGACATAAATGTCTAAATTGTTTGCATTTGGACACTAGAATCCCATCTACCACCACCAGCATTCTTTTTATTGGGGCTAGCTTGTAGCGCATGTTGATTTGTTCTAATTATTCATCCTAAAACTCTTACTCTCCAAAATGATTTATCAAAAGTTACAATTTTTTATTGACTCTCACTAGATCCGTTAATTAATACAATATCATACACAAATAGCATACAGTTAACAACTTCATCCCCCATATTATTGGTTCACTTATTCATAACTAGGATAAACAAATACAGGTCAAGGCAGAGCCTTGGTATAAATCCACAGTTACGGGAAATCCTCTACATCTCTATAGTCACACTTTTGAACACTGATATAAATTCTTTTCTTCACAAGTACCCATCAAATGACATTTTTTGATACTTTATCATATGTTTTCACTTGATCAATGAATATCTTCCTTTTCTCCCTATAAATTTCACAAAAACATAACATATACCGTAGAGTTTGGCAAGTGTGAATTCGAATTGGTTCTCTATCACCCCTATTTTATCTCTAGGTTGACGTGTTATCACCCTTTCCTAAAGTTCCAACGTACGACTCAAAGGTTTAATCCCATGATAGTTCGCACAACTTTAAAGATCTCTTTTGTTCTTATATACTGGACTCAGGTACCCATTCTCCACTCTTTTGACATGTTTTCAATCCTCAATAGAACATTCAAAAGCTTGGTTAGTCATTAAACTCACCCTCTCAAATGCACCTCAAAACTTTATTAGGATACCATTTGGACCAAATGCTCTTCCAACCCTCGTAATTTTTCATTTGCATTCTTATCACCTAATTCTATAGATGGGGAGCTAAGGTTTCTTTCCATCTTGAATGTATGAAGTGAGGGGATTAATTATGTCTACATTAGGTTCAGTTTCTCGGGCAGTTAAATCACGGCGCTATATATTTCAGGAACCCTCAAATGCTTTTATTTAATATTTTTTTCTTACCATAATATTTACTCTGGTATCTTCTTATTTTTCAAAAACATGTAATCACTTGAGGATGGAAAATGCATAAGGACGTTCATTCCCAAGGTAGGAAACTACTTATGGTTACTATCAAAAGACAAGCAAACATGTTTGAAACATAAACTACATCATAAGAATTGAAGATGTGCCAAAGGACCCCAACTTTTTTAGAAACTAATGCCCCTGAGTACTTCACTGATCAAACCACACAAAATCTACAAAAAAATGTTTCTTTTATCGTGATCAGTATCCAATAACTATTAGACTTATTTCAACTCCATATGGAATTTCTTTTTGCTGCTTAATGCTACACCACATTCATGAATCGTTACAGCAAAAACCAAAACTTAAACCAGCCAACGCTTACCATTCACGTGAAAGCCAACCAGCAGACAAAATGATAAATTGCCAGGTACCTAGAGCCAGTAAACAAGAATATAATTGATCTAACAATTTTCCTTTTTTAAAACGACCGTGCTGTCCGAGCCAGCTTGTGTGCACCTCGACTATTCAACGGGTGCCTGCTTGTACCTCTGTCCAGAAGGCTTAGGCAGATGGAAAGAAATCATCTACTGATTTTTGCCTGTGCTAGGATTTTGAACCTAAGACACCTCATGGTTCTCCTCCCACTTGATTAACCACTAGGCCACACCGTTCGGTGCTTGATCTAACAATTTCCCTGTACACATTTCTGTGACAAGGTGGGTATGCTCTTAAGTTTTGACACAATTCTTTACAATACTGACAATAATATTTATGTCGTTTGGCATTCACATGTTTCAAGATTTCGAACAAAATTTAGCATTATCTTCTACCATAAGAAAATCTCGTTTATCTTTTTACTTTTTGATATAATCTTCTGCCACAAAAATCAAAGATGTGAAACAAACGAACCCCTAGAATCTTTGTGCCAACACAAAGTAAATCACATAAAAAGGGATGAAGCAAATATATGCTTAATCTAGAAAAAAAAACAAAGAACTGATTAGGGTGAGAAGTCTCTGACTTCAGTGTACCAGATTCCTCATTAACCTTCTTGGCCAGCTACGCTAGTCACAGGAATCCCTCCTGCTCCCCCCCTCCCCCCAAAATAAAACAACTGCTAACAGACTTGAAATATGAATGAGACTTAAGGCATGGGCTTCAGGATTTAATTGCTTACCTGGACTGCAATGAAGGAGTACATTGTGTGATTAAGTTTCCAGTGACCCAGTTCATGTGCAATAACAGCAACTATTTCCTCATCATTCTTGCACTACAGAGCACAAGGAAGTGAAATTAACTCCCAAAATACAAACTAAAAAGAACTAACCAAAACATTTCAAAGGAATTTAAAAGCCAGGAAAAATAATAAACAGAGAAGAAGAAATCATTTGTTGGGGAGGTCGATGGCTAAACCACCAGCAAAGTATTTTCATGAATTCTAGCTACACCGATACCACACATAAGAAGTGATGATGTCATATGATTTCATGCAGTAAAGACACCTTTCTAACATCCAATCAGTTCAAAGAAACAGGAATATCATATTTTAATTGGTTAGCAAGTAAATGAAGAGCGTGAACATATAATGAACAGGAATATCATATTTTAATTGGTTAGCAAGTAAATGAAGAGCGTGAACATATAATGAACATGGACCTATATAGTCATTCCTCAAGATATTACTCCATCTTAATCTGGCTACAGCTCTCAAATACAGTAAATTAGCCTCTATCTCCTTGAGGACATCCAATACTTAAGCAACCAAATGGCAGAAATTGTTTTCAATGAACTAGCAGTCATTAGAATACTGTCCACTCAAAAAGAAACATAGAACTGGTTCAACAAAAATGATCACAGTAAACAAGTTTTACCATCTTCAACTTTCACAGTATCAAGGCATAGACTCCTGCCATCACACAGATATTCCCTCCATTTCAGTTTGGTATCTTAGTTTAACAGGGCACAAAATTTTCCATGTAAAGAAGACTTCTGCAGCTTGTGGTCTTAAACTAGAAGTGTGTAAAACGTGCTGAAAAATACCCTTTGAACGTTGTGGTCTTAAACATGCAATATCATACCCATAAGAGAGTATCATTAAGGGTAAAATGGGAATGTTGGAATTAAAACCTTTTTTATCAGGTAAAGTGAAATTTCATTTACTAAGCATCCAGAAGATGCACCTCAGTAAAGAGAAGTCGTTAGCTCCTGTACATTCTTTTGGCTCCTATCTAAACTCAAGGAACTTACAAAACCCATAAAATAAGAGGGGATTATTTACATTACAGTGGTTATACCAAGCAAAAAGTTCGAGTAAACATAGATTTTAAAACATGAATTCGAGTTACTTGGAACCAAAAACTTACTAAATGTGACATTCTTTTTGCAACAGACTAAAAAGGAAAGTAAAGATACATAAATTGAAATTGAGGGAGTATCTGTTATGGTGACCCTTCTTGGAACAATCCAACAAAGTTATAGTTCTATTACTATGCAATAGTAAAATGGTAGAATCTGCATAAACCCTTACCTTTGCTATTTTACTTCTTGTCAAGATCATGTTAGAACGACCTTTTTACCAACAAAATAGTTTCGAGGAATCATTAAATGTTCACAACTTCATCAACTAATGGCGATTAATAGAAGACCGGGGGGAAAAAACAAGACAAGGAACACTTAACAAGGTTTTATAGGCACCACACCTGCTGGATGAGTGTATCATAGAGGACAATGCGCTTGTTCTTGAAGAACCCATACATGTATGCCTAGCAAAATTTTGCAGATACAAGATCAGCCCACGGAGTAAGAGATGAGATAACAGAGAAATAGATAACTAGGTATACGGGAGAGAAGACAGAAATAAGTAATAGGTATAAACATCAGGATAATATTATACCCTCTGTGACCATTAATATTTTACTGTCACACACGACATAAATCCAACAAATGACTGAGCAGGGAGATTTCCAATGCAAATTTCATATCCCTTTCCACCAGAAGCTACAATATCGCAGATCTAACAAGATCCAATGGCTCAGCTTTTTATACGGAGTAAGAATTAGTTGGCTATGATTAGCTGGAACCTGAAGCCATAACGGCTGCTTTAAATCTACAAAACATGCACCAGGGAAGTGTAGACACACTTTTACACACACCTTTGTCAGAACCCTATCCAGCAACACATCCGGTAACATATGCGGTTATTGTAGAAGGGGATAAGGACCATAAAGCTATCACATAAACAATTATTGTATCCATTGAACTTTATAATGAAACCAAAGTATCAGAAAACTATATTAGACTCCAACAGCAAATGCAAAACTGAAAGCAAAATGACTTCAAAAGGCAACAGAGGGGAAAAATTCTTCATACGTATTTTTATTTACCCAGAAGCACACATGACTTGCAACCAATTCACACAACTTAGTTTTATCATTAGTTTCTGCGTAGGACGTAGTTTTCTTATTCCATTACATTCACCATATATAAATGGAAGAGCAATGAAGACTTAATCAACCATTGTTTATGACTCACCTACACTATATGGAATTGAACACAATTTTCAAGCTGAAATATAACTAACTACCAACGACTAGACAGATTTGTAGCCTGTTTGGCCGAGCTTCTTTTGAGGCAAAAGCACTTTTTTTTGTTCAAAAGTGCTTTTTTTCTAAAATTAAGGTGTTTGGCCAAGCTTTTGAAAAGAAAAAAAGTGCTTTTGAGGAGAAGCAGAAGCAGTTTTGGAGAAGCAGAAAAAAGTAGCTTCTCTCCAAAAACACTTTTCTGAAAAGCACTTTTGAGAAAAATACACTTAGAAGCAGTTTTTTAAAGCTTGGCCAAACATTAATTGCTGCTCAGAAGTGCTTTTCAAATTAATTAGCCAAACACAAACTGCTTCTTACCAAAAGTACTTTTGAGAAAAGCACTTTTGAGAAAAAGCACTTCTCAAAATAAGCTGATTTTTACAGCTTGGCCAAACGGGCTATTGATGTGCAGCCTAGTACTCTGATAGAGAAGATGATAACAACTAAATCCCCTTCAAGCTCTATTACTGTAGCAAAAATATTAGAACTTGAGCTCATAGACACTTTCATATATTTAGAAATCTTCTTGTTTTTGGTTGGGTGAGAGGAGTTGAAATCTTCTCGTTATCAATTACACTCTAAAAGAATATAAATTTATTCTTTTATCCTCAATTGTTGTGTAAAATGTTCTTGCCCCACCCTCAAAGCGAAATCCTTCAGTAAATAGGCAGATGACATATAAAAAGCAACAGTATCACATGCCCATTTGTCACTCAGCACAAGTGCAAATACTCCACCGTCTGATTAAAACCAAGAGATCCAAGAGGACGTCTCAAACTAAGCCCATAATGATAAAACGAAGAGAGACCTCTCCAAGTTAGTTTTACATCCTTAGCTCTTTATCATATTGATTTGTTCAACAAGTGGAACACCTTACTATACCTTTCGCAAACCATATGCAAACAAAACACACTCTTCATCTCCAAAATGTATGAGAAGATTTGAAAGGTAATCAATTACAAAAGAAAAATAAAGCAAATAAGAGATCAGGGCTATACTGCAAATCTGCTTCATTTAAAGCTAAAATATTGAAGCAATTAAGCAAAGCTAAAACTAAACTCTGATTGCTAGTTCCGACTAAAAGCTATCATAGACTACTGAGAGGATTAAAAAAATTGAGCCGGAAACGAAACAAAACTAGCCTAACTTAAAGATTCAAATATCATCTCAAAATCTACTAGCACAACTTGGACCACCCAATCTATGAAATTATAGCACATAAAATGAATTTGCATTCAATGTGAAAAGTTACATATATAACCACTATGCAAAGATCAGTATAATAATCACTCACATTGCTGTGGCTTGACCTTGTAGACCCATCAACCACAAATAATTTCTTTAGGGGAAACTTGAGTGAGGATGCAAGATTCTCAATCTTCAACCTAAGGTCTCCCTGTGGAAGCTACTCATTGGGGGAAAAAAAAACTAATCACCACAATGGAGCTGCAGGAAATATGTTTTTGCTTTTCCTCTTCTTGAGGGGAAGAGGGGGTTGATGTACTACTTACCGGAGTGAACTTGTTGAAAAGTGGAGCAATTAGTACAGGGTAGATAGTCATCATAACAAGAGATAAAATCAGCATAAACCCCCACAAGTAAATTGCCAAGTAAGGACCTCCTTTCTGCAAATCGAGAATAGATTAGTTCTGTCAGCGGAATGCACAAGATGATATTTTCCAGCCTCCAAAATGAACGTGCAAGGTAAAATTATGTGATGAAGATCCAAGAAAAAGTTGATGCCAAATGAGATGAACAAGTGAGCGGCAATATCATGCTAAAATCTCGAATAAACAAAACCCATGTCCCAGTACCTGTACTATAACAATGATGGCAGCCACAATGGGAGGACCAATCACAACAGCTAAAGCAATTCCTTTTATCATGTCCCTAAAGAATAGCCATACTGTTTGCTGCATCACAAAGACAAATCAAATTCCAAACAGACAATTCAGCCACCAAGGGATGACAGATGCATGCTAAAAGAAAGAATTACGTTTATTCCATGATACCTTGTTGAAACCATGGCGGGCCTCAATCACAAAGGTTGAATACAATGAAAATGGCAAATCGGTGATCTGTAGAAGTATTTGAAAATTTAGAATTGGTACCAGATTATGAAGCTATAACTTTTTGAAGCAATCCAGAATACTTGAAGGCGTCCTTGGTCCACGATATCACCACACTAAACACTAGCAAATTCAAAAGAGGAACTAACAGCAAATTCACCACAAGAAAGTAGTCTTGTGCCAAACAGAAGTATTTCACAACAGTTCTCTAACTGAGAACTTAACTTACAAAAGATGAGTCGAACTCTGAAACACCAGAAACTAAAAACTACCTACTAAACTTGCTTGTCATTGCAAGTGCAAAGCATAAAATAAGATGCCGCGTCACGCGCCAAGGGAATCAGGAAGAAATGCACCAAGTTTGACAAAATTCACTCTCTGAGTTCAACAGACAGGTCTACTTAAAGAATGAATCCTCGTCCAACACCACAACTAGGGAAGATAAAGATGATTAAATCAGATCTGAAGCTATCTTCAATCTAACAAGAAAAAGAAAAAGAAAGACCAGGACTGCATATATGGTTTGTGGTTCATTTAGCCAATGTGATCAAGACTACATTGCTTGGACACAAAAGAGGCTCTACAGAACACCCTTTAGGACATAAGGAAAGCATTTATGCACAAAAAGATTTACTCATCCCCGAAGAAACAACTATTCACCTAAAACTTTGGCAACAAATCCTACAACTCATATATAGTTGGAGCAAACCTTTCTAACCGAGCAACAACAAGTTCCCTGACGAGAACTGACACAAAATCATCAAATAAGGAAAAAAGGTTATCCCAAAATCAAACTCAGATCACAAGTCATCAACCTCACCAGCTAACATTCACTTGACATAGGATCACACCATCACAGAGGCATTTTTCATCTACATTTCACAGTTTAAAATTCGTGTGCAAGCTGAGCTCATAATGACCAGCCTTAAGCAAACAAATCAAGTAGAGTATGAGAAATTAAGGTCATATTCACATAAGTGATAACTCCTAGAAGATTGGAAAACTAAAAAGAAAGCCAGGGCGGCGTCCGGTGGAAGTCTACCTTGATAATATCAGGCTGAAAAAGGGGCGATAGCACTAGAGAGTCTGGAACTTTAAAAGTCCCTTTATAAGGAAAAAGGGTACCCCGGATCACGAAGCATACCGTGTTCACACAAAGGGGTGTAAAAATTATAAAATTAACACGGGGCAAGAGGTACTTTGAAGCATTAAAGAAAGATAGAACTTCTGTAACTCAAAAGGAGAGAGTATCTGAGGATTTGCACATTAAATACATTGTAACATAATGCTAAACAGTTTTAATTAATTCACTTTTAACAAGGCAAACAAAACCCTAAAGAGTGCTGATAAATATTCTTTTTAAAAAGAAAAAATATATACAATGGACAAATATTCAACTCCAGGAAGTGTCAACCATTATGAACAAGAAACCAAAGGGATACTCATATGCACCTGTGACCAAACCATAACTCCTGCTAAAAATGAAAGTGTGTGAAATATTTCATTCTCTGCATTGAGACCAAGGTATACCAAAGATTCTCCTGATATCTGCCAGAATATAAAACACAAAGTCCATGAGTTGCTAGAGTGGGAAGAGAGGACATTTTAAGAAAAAAGCTGAACCATTCACCTTCCAAAACCAGGGCAATATCCGGAAGTACAAGATGGAAGAGTCCATAAGTATGGTAACAAACTCATGGATAAAATGGAAGTAACTGGAAAAAAAAAGAGATGAAAAAGAATATCAAACAAAATAGAACAATTTGGTTGGTATCCCCTGAACAAAAGAAAAAAATCAAAAGCAAGTAGGAGATAAACCTTTTGTCTAGACTATATGCACGGGACTTCTCAAATTTTTCCTGGCTGATAACTCCCACCAAAGTTTTCGGAAGTGTTGGCAATTTATGAGCAGCATGCTGTCGTACATCAAGGTATGTCTCAAATATGTACATTAATATCATGAATCCTGAAATTCAACAGAAAAATTAGAGCCAAAAGCACAATAAGAAGGGAGGTTAATACAGCACCCTAGAAAAGACAGCAATAAATAAAATCAAGGAGGGAAGTCCGAGATAAAATCTGAAGCAAACAGCAAGCAAGCCAACTACCAAGAGACACAAGGAAGAAACCAAAATATAAAGATGTAAAAACCATTAACACACAAAACACGTCTCAAAAGTTGAACCAAAGCAGCCCTTTTTCATCTCATTGCATCATCATTTAACCAATGCTGTCTACTGGCTAGTTGAGCTATATATGAGACCAAATTAAGGGTGAAAATAAAAGAGGAGACCACCATATCATACATCAGATGACAACAAAATGCCATAAGATTAACAAAAAGGATATTTTCAGTTTTTTCTTGCCTGTCCCAGTCCATAAACGATACACAAATTGTGGATATTGTGTATGATAGTATGAGTGTATCCCCCACCAACATTAGCAGTCCTTACTTATCAACTGAATGAAGTCAAAAGCTACGTAATCATCGCTTAAGGTATTATGTGAAAAACAGACTGCATTAGCCGTCAATGCTCAAAAAAAAAAAAAAAACAGGAAAAAAACAATTAACTCATGGAGGGAGAGTCAAGGTGTCAGTCAATTTAAGCATATTTTCTGCACCTGCAGAACCATTCAACAGTCGACATTCATTGGTTCCACTGACGAAGAAAGTTGCCAGAACAAATTAGAATAAACAGAATGAAAGGCGTTTCCAATGTGATCCTGCAATTAAAGCTCTCCAAATACCAATAACACACCACTCGTTTTCTAACAGTGTAATGTAAATGTTATAATGGGCATCCAGTTGATGCAGAATAAGTACAAAAAGGTTCCTATGGAACTTAGGTTACCAACAAAATCCAAAAACTCAATATACGATATACACTAGACAGTTTGCTCCAGCAAAAAAATGAAAGAGTAGGGTAAACTTCTCCTTCAAAGATCTATAGTTCCTTCCCTTCTATCTAGTCCATATAACCAATAATGCACCACTCCTTGAGGTAACAACAATGAGAGAGGTCCATAATTTAGGCACGGCAGGAGGGAGAGCAAAGGTGGAAAAGTTAGGCATTCAAGCACTTAAAATGAACTTCGCTTATTTGGAAAATCTAAAGGTCCTCCAGTTCCATCATGATTCTTCCAGGAATCCAAAAGGCACACATCAATGGATCTACTAGTCTTATCCTTTTGGTTGATTACAACAACAAGAAAAAGGACCTAACAGTTTGAAGCTTATCAGCACGTGAAGATGCACATAAAAGTTAGCAGCAGAATAAACGGTATTACAGTGAGAAACTAAAGAACAGTAACATGTGTAACCTCAAATAGGGTTTAACACATCACAGGAAGCATCTGGCACAAATTTTGAAATGAATACAAAACAATAATTTCAGTTAACTCAGTAAAAGCACGGAGGGCCAGCGCATCAATACATGTTTTGATTAAAATTTTGAAATTATCATGATCAAGTCATACAAATCCAGAACCAAAAACATGCGTAACAAGCATCTAAAGTGCAAGTAGATTTTCCTTTATGCCTTCAAATATTCTATGATTCCTTTCTAACCAAACTGTCCACCAAATGGCAGCAGGGATTGTGTCCGACATGATCTTCTCGTTCTTGTTTAGACCTTTTCTGTGCCAACCTAGCATCAGAAGAGGTTGGTGGCATTGCCCAATGCATCCCCAAAACTCTGAAGAAACAAGGCTAAGAAACTTTCAAGGCCTTTCAGAAGTTAGAACCGTCATATTACGACCTCAGAATTATCAGTAGATAGGCTCTAGCTAAAATGAATTCTAACTTAGTTTCTTAGCGAACTCTAAGAAAACACCTAATTTATTCACCGCCAAATGAAGCAGGACTCCAATGCAATCCGATATGTTGATGTTTGCTTTATTTGATAACGTTGTTGTTTCAATCTTCATGTTTCTCCATTTAAATTCATCTTGGGCCAACATTATACAAAATCAAAATAAAATAAAATAAAAGGTATAAAAAAAAGTGCAAAAATAAAATAAAAGTACAAAAAAAAAAGGGAACTGTTTTTGAGGCTTGAAAGCATAACCCCGAGCTAGTATACAGCCAGATTAACCAACAGACCACAATGATTCAATACGATGTTAACATCACATTTAACCTTATATTGACATATAAATCTTTAACCAAACTGAAAAACCTCCCAGCAAAGACCAGACCTAATCGAAGACAGACCAATGTACACGTACATGCATAGAAACCATCAAGACTTTTACCAATATAACACTATCTTCTAGAAATAAATTAAGTTCAAGATAACCAAAACCCCAAAATGCCAATTTCTTTCTAAACAGACAGACAACAGAGATGCTACAAGAACCTACAATAGAAACTGAACTTCTATACTAAAGAAAGACTGAAAGAATCATAGCTAATTAATAGTCCCCAAGATAAAAAAGGTACACACATGCATGCATAGAGAACAACAGGAATTCTACAAACTAGAAGCTTTCTTCAAAAAATACATTAGTTTCAATAAAAAAAAACATAAACCCTAAAAGCCTATTTATTTCTCTAAATAGGCAACCAAAAGAGAGTTACAAGTATTCAATCAAGAACCCAGAGATTTTGAACTGCTAGACTAAGAAAAGCAAGGATCATTCGACCCAAATAATGCATAAAGCACGTCAAGATTATTACAGAGATTCCGATACTTTTCTTCAGGAAATATATTAATTAGAGATACCCAAAAGCCTTCATGTCTATTTCTTTCTAATAACAGACAACAGAAAGGCCACAAATATTTAATCAAGCTCCAAATTTGTAAGACTAAGAAAGCAACAACCATCCTTATACCAAATACAAGAAAATTATTAAGTTAAAGAATCCAATAAAACCTATAATGCCTACTTATTTCAAAACAGACGTTGAACAGAGATACAACAAATATTTGATCAAGAGCCTAAATTTTCGAAACATATGGACCAAGAAAGAAGAAGCAATAATGTAACCCAGTAAAAATGGAAGCGTGAAAACGGGAAAAAGATTGCATAGATATCAGTAATGACATTCAAAGACAGTAGAGCCTTTCAGAAAATGTAATATCAAGTAAATACCTGAGGCACTATAACGCGAATAAGTAAAAGGTGTAGAAAGATAGAAAAAGGAAGGCGTACCGAGAACTGCTTCCAAGTAAGGAAATGCCATAGCGAACTCAGTGGTTGGTTAAAGACTGCGAACACAGAGAGAGAGAGAGAGAGAGAAATGTCTTCTTTTGGTGATTTATAGAGAACGGTTTAGTGGGTCGGGTCACAGTGTGGAGTTTATGGGTCACCCACATGGTTCTATGGGTCGGATATACCCAGATGATTTTTTTTTTTTTGACCTAAGTGCACAAATAGCCATATCTAGTACCCTATTTAAAGTAGAGACGAATGATGTGTTTGGTACTGTAACGACCCGACTGGTCGTTTTGAGCGATTGCGCCCGGTTCAGCAGTTTGAGGTGCATGGTTGAATTCAGTTAATGGATGATTCAGAGTCAAATTGGAAGAAGGAAACTAGCTTTGGAAGTTAAACGGTGAGAATTTGACCGGAATTGGACTTTTGGGTAAACGGCCCCGGAATGGGCCGTGGATGATCTCAACAATTTCGTATGGTAATTTTGGACTTAGGCGCGCATCCGGATTCGGACTTGGGATTGGGTAAATTGAGGCATTTTGGCGAAAGTTGGAAAAGTTGAAGTCTGGAAAATGGAGAAGTTTGACCCATAGTTGACTTTTGTGATATCGGGGTCGGAATGCGATTCCGAGAGTTGGAGCAGCTCCGTTATGTCATTTTGGACTTGTCTGCAAAATTTGGCGTTATTCCGAGTTGAATTAATAGGTTTCGGCATGAGATTTGATATTTGAAGATTTGGAAATTCATAAGTTTGATTTTTGGTTTGATTCGTTGTTTCGGTGTTGTTTTATGTGATCTGAAACCTCGAGCGAGTCCGTGTTAGGTTATATGACCTGTTTGTGTGACTAGACAGGGTCCCGGGAGCCTCGGGTGTGTTTCAGATAGGCTACGGGTCATTTTTCCCTATGTTTGAACTGCTGTTCTGCTATCTGGTATTTCTTTCTATGCGATCGCATAGGCGTAGCCGCGATCGCGTAGTACAATGTTAACCTGCCATATTTTCCTTCTATGCGATCGCATTGATTCGTTCGCGATCGCATAGCACAAATTTGGACAGCAGTATTTTCCTTCTATGCGATTGCATTGATTTGTCCGCGATAGCATAGCACAAATTTTGACAACAACATTTTTCTTTTATGCGATTGCATTGATTTGTCCGCGATAGCATAGCACAAATTTGGACAGCAGCATTTTCCTTCTATGCGATTGCATTGATTTGCCAGCGATCGCATAGAAGATTTTGGGCCAGTAGCTATTTTCTTCTACGCGATCGCATCACTTCTCCCGCGATCGCAATGAACAAACACCTGGGCAGACAGAATATATTCCAAAATCGAGGGTTACACCATTTTCATTATATTTTGACTTCTAGAGCTCGGTTCTTGGCGATTTTTGGTGGGTTTTTCACGAAATTCGATTGGGTAAGTGTTTTTCAACTAGAATTAAATATATTCCACGAATTTGTCTTTATTTTTATCATTTAAATTGTGTTTTGGGTTGGGGAAAGAGTTGGTTTTTGAAGAAAAATTTCAAAATGAAAAATCATGATTTGAGGGACCAAATGGTATCGGAATTGGATAAATTCTGTATAGTTGAACTCATTTTGGAATGGGTGATCGGATTTTGTAAAATTTGATGGGTTTCAAGGTGCGGGCTCGGGGGTCGACTTTTGGGTCGATTTTTATATTTTTGTAAAGATTGAAACTTTATTATTCGGAATAGTTCCTTATTCGATTTATGCGTGTTTTGGAGTTGTTATAGTTGGATTTGAGCTGTCCAAAGGTCTTTTCGCCCGAGAAGTCCATTTTAGAGTACCGAGTTGTCGTCTTTGAGGTAAGTATCTTGCCTAACCTTGTGGGGGGAGGGGGAGGGGGGGACTTCCCCTTAGGAATTGAGTCTTCTATGCTAATTGTAGTCCATGCATGCGAGGTGATGAGTGTGTGCTCGGATTTATTTGTGGGAAATTTGCCTCTAGGGTTCTTAAGTCCTTATGTGGAAAGTATCCTGTTATGATTGGGTTTCCTAGTTGCTTAAATTGCTTCTATATGCTCCATATGACGTTGTTAGCTTTCCTTTAATTCTCACGTGTTACATTGACCCTTAATTATCTTAATTGAAGTGATTGCCTTCCTTATTGTTTTGATACTTCTTGATTGTGAGTTGCTCTATGACTTCGTGCGAATATGTTACATGTCCAATTGTTGTGGTTACCGGTGTAGTTATCACGTGCTTATTATGTCTTGTTGTTTTGTTGAGGTTATCGTGCTTCTTGGTTTTTCCGTGACCCTTATTATGTACTTGTTGATTCCCTTGCCGGGACATTATTGCTTATGATATTGTTTCCCTTGCCGGGATATTGTTGTTATATTATTGTTTCCTTGCCGGGATGTTATTGTTTATGATATTGTCTCCCTTGCCGGGATGTTGTTGTTATACTCTTGTTCCCTTGCCGGGATTCTTTTATGATTGATGATGATTTGTAAATGGGAGCGGGTTGCACGCCTGCAACGAGATATATGAAATAGGAGCGGGTTGCACGCCTACAACAAGATATCTGAAATGGGAGCGGGTTGCACCCCTGCAACGAGATATATGAAATGGAAGCGGGTTGCACGCCTGCAACGAGATATATGAAATGGGAGCGGGTTGCACGCCTGCAATGAGATATGTGAAATGGGAGCGGGTGCACGCCTGCAACGAGATATATGATCCGAGATATTTCTGCACCACCCACCCCCGATGTCCCCCCTCTCGCCCCCCTCCCCCCGGAAATTTTTTATATATATATTTTCAGTTTTACTTTTTTCATCTTTCGATTTATAGGTTCGAAATTTTACAAGCTCCAAATTCGGAGGTTTATGTGTTTGGAAGTTTGCGGGTTTAGAAATTATAAAATTTACGGGTTCGAAAGTTCGCGGTTTCAAAAGTTTAGCGGTTCGGAAGTTTATGAAATTTGTGGGTACAGAAAGTTGTTGGTTCGAAAGTTTATGGCTTCATGTTTATTGTATCTAAATTATTTATGAGTACTCTTGAGAAGTTATTTTCCTTAATTTGCATACCAAACATCGAAAAATGAATAAGATCACTACTTATTTTTCAAAAAAATATTTTATTGGAAAATATTTTTCGTTATACCAAACACACCCGAAATGTACAGGATTTTAATGTTTTGCCGCCTTAGAATCAACCTCAAATCAAGATTTTAATGTTTAATATGAAGTAATTGCACGTCTAAACTTTCCAAATTCAGGCTGTTGAGACTGAAACGAAGTTCAAATTCATAAATGGTGTTAGGGTGTACAAAAAATGAATAAATTGTACCAATTCGATAATACGAGTCAAATCGGGGAAACATGACTATGGTTCAATTTGATTGATTTGATTTGGTATTTAGAAGCCCCGACCATATTGATTTGATTGTAACTAAAAAAAGCCAAATCGAAACCAAACCAACCTGATATTACATGTAAATAGAGCAGGCACATACCAAACCCTCAAGTGCCGTAACCATGAAAAGATTGGATGATCTGGCCAAAAATTAAAATAGTTATATTATAATTCATAAATATTTCTTAAACTTTTTCATAATTTTTATCTTTTAACATATTTCAAGCTTGAAGTTAGAATTTTTGAATGGTCCAATATATTTTATACACCATAAATATTATTCAAACATAACCCAAACCTAAACCAAATTGATACTACTGCTAACAAAAAGTTTTTAATTCAATACTAGGAACGGCAATAATGTTAAATATTTCTATTTACGCTTTATATTAGTTTAGATATGCACGGGATCCGAGGAAGAGCCGGCCACGACTCGAACCTGTGACCTTTTGGTCGCATGGCGGCAACTTTACTAGTTATGCCAAGTCTCCCTTTCGTATTAGTTTAGACAGTAAAAATACATAACTTTATATTTTTTTCTTCAGTGTTTAGTCATGTAATTAGTACTAGTACTTATTAGTCGACTTATTTTAGCATGACTAATTACTTTTAGATTATATTCATTTTTGTTATAACTTATTAATTAGAAATATTTATTTTATGCAATTTTATTATTGAATATTTTAGGACATTGTCATCACTTATCTCATATTATTTTGTGCAATTTGCTTGAGAACGCCTTATATTGTTGTATTCTATTAGGATTAAAGAAATATTTGGAGCACAAGTTATATATTTTGTGCTACGAAGACTTTATAGGAAAAAAATCCGAAAAAATGAGATTGAAAAACTTTGTTGATTTTGTTTGGTTTATAGATTTATAAACTCAGACACAATTGCTTTGGGTTGGATTAAAAAATCCGAACCAACCAATCGATATAAACCCCTACCTGGAACAGAAAGTTAGTTTTGGTAGAGCCTAACTTCAGACTCGAAGTTTTGACATTTAAAATGCCCTGGGCATTCATTAACTACTAAAAACCTTGTCTTACTTACAAGCCTAGCTTGGTGGCTATTAAATAATCCTTCCTTCCCTTAGGCACAACTTATCACTTGGAAATACGCTCACAAAAAGTCCAAGGTTAATACCTCTTTCATTTGGACAGCTCTTCTTAAAGGCTGAAAATTTTGCAATGAAAGCACTATATGGTATCCTTGTACAACTTCTAAAATCAACATCTGGTATTCTAGATGGGTACACCACATTATTAAGCTGAGAAGTTCCATTGTTGGACCACTACACTTAAGTGACTATAATCTAACTATACAAGACTCACTCAAAGATGATCACTAGGATATCTCTAAAATCTTTTCCGTATTTTCTCCTACTATTGTCAATAAAATTACCTCTACTCCTATCCCTAGCAAATACCTTTAAAGACCAAGTCATGCCATGACATATTAAACTTATGAGATTATAGTAAGGCTTAAAGATTGCAATGGAGATGAATTTCACAAAAATGGAGATTGAAACTGACTCCATAGAAATCATTAAACTAATGGGTAAGGACAACCAATCTTTTACTAACACTTTACTTGATTGCAGGTTATTAATGCACCAACTGAAAGTCTCAGTACTCAGGCATAACTTCAGGGAAGGAAATGGAGTTGCGCATCAACTAGCAAAGGAAGCTATTACCACTTTAAGCC